GGGGGGGGGGGGGGGGGGGGGGGAGTTGGGGCTTGGGCTCCCACATGGTGCTGTCGCTTACCTGGAAGCCCATGACTGCCACTGCATACAAAACCGCTGCAGAGCTGTGCCCGGAGCTGTGCAGCCAGCTGCTGGGTGGCAGCAGCAGCATGGTGGTGGCCTTGAGGCATGCAGCCATCCCCACCACCACTCTGTGCTGTGCCACTGCTGCCAGCCACACAGTTCCAAGGTGGCAGCGGCAGGTTTTGTAGGCAGTTGGCTCTTTCAGGCTGGAGCTGTGCCAGCCTGTAAGAGCTCTTTGCAAAAGCAGAGAATCCACGGATTTCTCTGCTAAAAAGAGAAATCTGCATTTTCTCCAATTAAAAACAGGGAATCCGTGATATTTTCTCCGTTTTTCCATGGGAAGCGGACAGCCCGGATCTCTGGTTATAAGGAAATTTTATTACCATGTTTATAGAAACATCAATAGAAATTTTATTCAGCTGTATAACAACACAACCATTAGCTTAGAATATGTTTTTGTTTTTTTCTTAATTTTTATGTTTTGGCTATTAATTTTCTTTAAGAGGAAGTGACCTTTAAAAAACAATTAAAATATGGAATTCTTATCTAAAAAAATATCTTCATAACACAACTAACTGTCCACAAAGCTTGAGGTCCCAAATTTTTATGTGAACTTCCAAGCTCATTAAAACAATCAAGTGTATCTAGGCATATATCCAACCCAGTGCACCCAGGTCTGAAAATTTACGTTGATGACAGTTAATAGCCTGCCTGGTTACTTTTCTTTTTTATCACAAACCTAGTCATACAAACCTGTTATGATTAGTGGTATAGGGTGTTGGTAGTGCCTGTAGATGCTTCTTGTGTATGCATTTTGTACTGAGATAAAGAATTGAACTTAAAATAAGTTAGAAGTAATCTTCACGTATAGATTTGTATAAAAGACGGAGGTTGTCAGAATCAATGAGCCAAAGTGGCTGTGTCTGTTCAGAGCCAGAGGATTAAAGCCCCATTGAAGTGATGGATAAGAATTAGGTCTTTTTTTGTGTTTCCAGCCCATAAACTGGAGTAGAGACAGCTTGTGGATGCACGGTTAGTCTGAAAGCATAAGAAAACAGGATAGATTTCAGTCTTGTCCCTCCGTATCTGCTGTCTTTTTCAAAAATAATGTTTCAGGAAGCAAAGTGTCTCCATACTGGTTCTTTCTTTAGGATCACTGATAAAATTGTCACTATGCCACCCACTTCTGTATCTGGGAAATCTTTTAGAACTTGAAAATTGTCTTTCTGGTGGTACAAGTTTTGAGATACAACCCTTCCAGAAGTTGGAATTGAGAGGCTAAACAATATATGTTATTTTAAGACTTGAACCCGTGATGATAAACAGCTAATGCCAAACTGCCTCTCTTTTTTTTAAATTGTTGTGATGGTTGTGTTCTGTGAAGTTGTGGTGTGTGGAGTTAAGCATCTTGTTTTTAAGAAGTTTACTCTTTCTCAGTGTTCCTATTGTGAGAATTGCTGATTGTGATCCTTGTTGCTCACCCTTTCTTCTGTACACAGATGAATCTTTCTGTTTTTATAGCTCTCTCTCCACTCCTGCCAAAGGGAGAACTGTATTTTCATGGAACAGTCCCTCCCATCTCTGCTCCCCCTTGTCTGTTATGTCTCAAGATGGTGAACATAGTTTGTGTGCTCTCAGATGTGTGGCAGAATTACAGGATCTTTTTGCATATGGCGCTTTTTTTTTCTGAGCGGGATTACTGTGTTGACTACATCTCCCCACATCCCTCCTCATGAGGTTTGTTTTGTTTTGTTTTGGGTTTTTTTTCCTTTTCTTTTTTGGTGACAAGATGTTCTAGCTGGATAGAAGCATCGCTTTAAAAATGCTGTTGAATACTGCTTTGACTGCAGTTCAGAAGTTTGACTGAAGTAATGTTGTCTGGCTGCTTTCTTCTGAGTTGGGCAAAACCAACCCTCTTCCCAGATCTCACCGTCCCATCCACTAGCAAGTGCTGAGTGGGAATAGCAACTGTGCAGAAATTGCTTCCTTGTACATTTTGTTAGCTCTGGTATAGATAGCCCATATAAGAGAAGCAGAGGACCACTTTGTTCTCTCCTTATACTCTCTCGTGTACCTGCCTAGACTTATTGGTGAATTTTAGCTCAGGGCTATCCAGCTGGTGGCCCATGGGCCTCAGGCAGCCCACAGAGGGTTATGCAGCCCCTGGGCTTCTGTCCAGCTACTGCACACTAGGTCTGTGTGAATAGGAAAGTATTCAATTCAGATTCAGCCAATTTGGAGATTCAGATCACCGTCCTGAATTGAACTGGCTTTGGAAGATTTGGTGCTGATTTTGGAGAGATTCAGTAATTTAGATCAACCAGGGAGAGGCAGGCACAGCCAGAGGATCCATGGGAGAACCTGCAGCCTTCTGGCTGTGCCTGCCTCTCCCCAGGTGGGAGAAGCCCCCATGGCTGCCCTGCCCAGCTCCATCCCCTGCTTGGCCCCAGCCTAGTCTTGGCTGCAGGAGCAGTGACTGGGGCTTCTGAGCACTCATGGCAAAGTCCCCCCTGCGCAGAGTGGGGGGCATCAGGGATTACCCCCCTGCCTGGTACTCATGTGGCACCTGCCCCGTGGTGTGGGTACAGCGTGGTTTGGCAGGGCGCTGTGTGCAGCCCCAGTTCCAGCCAGCAGCTGCAGCCTGCCTGCCCCGCCCCACCTTTCCCTCCTCCCAGATCTGGGGGGAACGCCCCAGCTCCACTGCATGACCCTGCCCTCCCTCACCACGGGGCATTGATCTGTTGCTCCCTGCCCCATCCCTCCCCACTCCCTTTCAACCACAACAGACTTACTAGCTGGACGCAGCTGTATCGGAAATCGGATCGGTATCGGCTGATATGCCTTCTTAAAAATTAGCTATTGGTATTGGCCCCCAGCATCTTTATTGGTGCACCCCTAGATATTTTGATGCAACATGTGATTGAAAATGTGGTGGTTAATTTGTGAAACTCTTTCCTTGAGAGTTTATGGAGCACATGAAATTGACTGACTGCAGTTTTTGCTTAGAGTTTCTTTGGTTTAATTGTATCCTACCAAGATATGACACTACTCTTGTTTTTGGTTTTCTAGGTCATCTTGTGAAGTCTTCCAAGAAAATACTAGCAGTTGTAAGAAAACTATGTTTAACAAGAATAACATCTTCCTCCAGTCGGACTGAAACAGAAATGCTCCTCTGAAGTGTAAATATTAATGTATTTTTTCAATTCCTTTTTAATTGTTTTTTGTAGACATTCTTCTATATACTATTTAGTAACTTTAAAAAAATCATTTAGCTGTCATTTAATGCATTTAATGTAGATCGTCTACAAAATATCAAGGCAGATAAAGAAATCTATTGGTGAAGCAACCTATGAAGCCTCTGATGGAATCATTATCAGATTATTAGCGAACACTGCCATTTTGGGGGTTGCTACTATCTGATGAACTTTGGAGTTCTGCTGCTTCTTTCTGGGCTACCAGGTATTCCTTTTATGTGGCTGTAAACAGGAAGCAGTGCAGAGCAGACATAATTGCAGCCTGCCCCAAACTTGCTGTCTGCTGTATGATGTAGGCAGGATTTTAAAATCAACTGCAGTCCACTCCAGTGATACATTAAAGTTTTTAGGAAAATAGTATTAAGGAACTCAGGATAGTAAGTCTGAATTGTGCAACCTCCTGTGTTTGCTCAAAGAAATGGTAACATAAGACTGTAGGTTGCTGCCAGTCCTAGGGCCAGCCACATGAAAGTTGTGAGATTGTAATGCTCAGTGTCAAAATGCCTGTGTCTGTAAATCTAGCCCAGGGGTGGGCAAAATGGTGGATCTGGCCGGCAGCCAGACTCCCATTTCCCAGCAGTGCCTGCTCGCACATGGTCTCCATGGAGGCGGCATCTATGCTGTCATAGTGCAAGGCTGGGGTTACCATGGAGACCAGCCCCAGCTGTGCTGGCAGGGTGTGCAGCAAGGCAGAGCAGAGGGTGCTCGGGAGCACCTGGTATCTTGTGGTGGGGGCAGCTTGGTCCAGGGACCAGGGCAGAGACACGATCCACTGCCTGCATGTCCCTGTCTGGAGCGTGCAGACTACAGATGGCATCTTTGCACTGGCTCTTTGCAGTGGTGACAGCCTGGCCCTGAGCCAGGACAGAGCCATGATCCATTGCCTGCGCACCCCTGTCTGGAGCATGCGGGCTGCGGACTGCAACTCTGCCCTGGCCCTGAACCAAGCTGCCCCCACCGCAAGATCCCAGAAGCTCTGGAGCACCCCCCTGCCCTGACAATGTGGCTGGGGCCAGTGTCCAAGACAATGCCAGGCTTGCGCTATCATAGCACAGCTGTGGCTGGGGTCTCCATGAAGACCAGCCCCAGCCAGGTTGGCAGGGGCTTCTGGGAAATGGAGTCCATTGCTGGCCGAATCGGGCCTGCAGGCCAAACTTTGTCCACCCTGATCTAGCTTAGGAAACTGAGGCGTGGGGAAGCTAGCTATCTGTTAAATAGGGAAGTATTATTTTTCCCACCTAAGGGGCAGGGGTGAGGGATAGGTAAATTTGGATTGTGTGGTACTCAAATGCCATAGTGATTGGAGGTAGGTAAGTATGGTAAGGAACAAACAGTATGTGGTCATGAATTTGAAAACTTAATGTAATATGTATTTATTAAACAGAGGGTAGAAATGAGGAAGACTATACAATTTCCTTACCTCCCCATTCTAGTTTCACCTGCGTTGTTGTTGCACCTATATAATTCCACTGATATCTGCCTAATTCAGAAAGAAATAAGGGGAATCTGGCTGTTTAGAACTTAAGATGTGGGGAGTGGAAATCTTTGTTGTAGCTTACAGTAGGGGCGGGTAATTTATTTCCAGTGGAGGGCCACTTAATGAGGTTTGGTGAGCTTTTGAGGGCTGCATGGGTAGCCCTGCCCCTTGACAGTTGGCCTGCCCCCTGGTTACTATCTTGGGATCAGAAGTCCTGCTCCTAACCCTTAAACTTTGCCCCCAGAAGTCCCTTCACTTGACCCCTGGAAATGCTCCTTTTGAGAGGGAGAGTTGCCATTTTGGTATCAGAAGAAAACTAAATCATACACTAAAAGTCAAACACCTACTATAACTTATTTTAATTTTATTACAAAAAATATTTTTGTCATGATTTGTTTGCATACTGTATATAGAGGTGATTGCGTAATAACTTAGTATAACAGACTAAAAATTTATTTTTGTGTGTGCAGGGTACGTGGTGTGTGCACATCTGTAAGATGCGGTGTGAGGGTGCTGGGTGTGTGTGGTGGGGTGAGAGGTGTGGCTGTGTGGCGGGCATAGGGTATGTTGGGGGTTTGTGTACATGTGGGGGTGTTCTGGGGGCAGGCTGTGTGTGTGTGTGGCAAATATGGCGTGAGGAAGGGTGGAGCGGGTGTGGGGATGCCCTCACACTTCCCTTCCCCACCCCTCCCCATGGCATGCAGACCCTACAGGTGGTGGCAACAGGAGCACCAGCAAGTAGTGACACATGCTGGTGTCTGGCTGCACACAGCTCTGATCAGTGCTGCATGTCAGGGCGAGGAGCGCAGCCCTGCCGGGCCCCCTGTGTTACCAGGGCTCTCTGCTGTGCATGCACAGCCCCTGCACTCATGTACCACTGGAGGGAAGCTCCATGTCCTGGTGCCAGCTGCCTGCACTGCTCCCTGCTGCACAGATCCCAGGACTCCTCAGGGAAGCAGCAGGCAGGGCTCCCCTCTGCTTCCAGCAGTCCCAAGACCTGCGTGGCAGAGGGTGGGAAAGGCAGCCAGCTGCAGCTCGTGGAGCTTCCCTCTGGCGTGCAAGTACAGGCATGAATGGCGCCTGCCCCTCTGGCAGCTGGGGGAGTGTGACAGCGGTAAGTGGGGAACTCCCACAGAGAGCTCCACCGGTACTGTCAGTGGTGGGGGTGGCGAGCTCCAACCAAGGGTCTGCAACCACCTGCAGCTGCCAGTGGCAGCATCAGCAGTGGCCAGCAGGGATTGGGGACTGTCTGCAGATGGCGGTGGCGGTCTCAGTGGTGAGCAGTGACCACCCACAGGTGCCACCTTTTTGCAGGGGGTGCACGTGCACCCGCGTGCCCTCCCTGCACGTTGCCCCTGAGGATGGGGCTGTATGTGTGCAGCGGGGAGTGCCAACAGTAGAGGTGGCTTGGCTGGGCAGGCTGTGCTCCTTGCCATGATGTGCAGCACTGGCTGGAGCCACATGCCACTGGGTGGCAGCACCTGTGCTGGTTACAAGCGCCCCTGCCTGCTGGGGCTGCATGCAATGGGAGGGAATTTGGGGAGTGGGCTCCACACCCTCTCCAGCCCTTCCTCAGACCCATACCATACCCAACTGAGCTCTGCGCTGCTCCTGCCCCCCGGGTGAGGCTCTTCACATTGCCACCAGCTCCAGCCCCATGCTCTGTGCTCCTGCCCAGCTGCAGCTCCTACCAGTGCCCCCACCTCCATCTCCATCCCCACCTTCCCTACCCTCTGCCTAGAGCAAGTGGGAAGACAAGCAGGTCCCCTGGCAGTTGTAGCAGTGGCAGCAGCAGCCCTGCCCAGAAGCTGTGTGCTGGGTGGGCTGGGCCCTTTCACCCACGAGGCTGGGAGTGAGGCGCAGTAGGGTATGTTGGGGTGGAGGGGAGGTGTATATGTGGATGCCTTGCTCCTACCCTCGTGGGCAGAAGGACTGGGTGGAGTACAATTATTTGGTGGGCCCCGCTGGCCGGATGAAAGTGCCTGGTGGGCCTGATCTGGTCCATGACCTGTATCTTGCCCACCCTTGGCTTTCAGTAAGAGCATTTTCAAATGTCTGCTCATTGCCAAATGGAAATCAATTCTTTCTTTCAACTTATTTGTGTAAAGGAGATGTGTAGATGGTACTGCAACTCTGGCATAACAATGTCTGTGTGGGATTCGTTAAGGTGAAGCTAACCATCTCCTCGGTATTTTTTTCCCATCAAAATGGCAGCTGCAGATGCTTTGCTCTAATAGCAACATTTTTCATTTTGACCAATAACATTATGTTGTTTTCAGGCAAACACATTATTCTATACCTAAGTTTTATTGAGTGAATAGAGTTAAGGAATAAGTACCAGCATGCATAGTAAAGTGTCCAAGCAGTTCTGGAGTCAGTTCTTCTGCCATTAAATCAGCATCTGCATTTATATCCGTTAGAGATCCAGGTCTATTATGATAATTTTTTTTAAGGATCATTGGTTTATTCAGTCTTAGAAAAAAGTCTCTGCACTCTATTTTCATGCGTGGTGGTAAACAGGAAGTAGTCTAGAGAAGATATGGTTACAACCTGCCTCAAATTTATTAACCTTTTTTTTTGGCAACAATCTGCATCTTTGAATTTTAGGATTTTTGCTCTATGTTGATTTTAGTCTTTGGAAAGGGGGGTAGAGGAGGGAAGCTGGGAAAGCTTTATTTCTCAAATTTTCTTTTGTCTTCCTCTTACTGCAGGGGTATCAAACTTGGGACTGGTTTGGTGAGGGCACTGCATACAGCACATACCCTGGATTGGCCATGTGTGCTGTTTAGAGCCAGTGCGTGCACCAGCTGTAGCTCTGCATGCCATATACAGCATGCTCCAGCCCCATCCTGATGTGCTACATGCAGCATGGGGAGTCAGTCTGGGGTGCATGTTGCCTGTGGTGCTGGTGGCAGACCAACCCTGGCTTGATCAAGACCAGCCTCAGATCCAGCAGCACAGCTAGTGGGCTACAGGCACCACATACAGCAGGTGCCCCAACCTGGCCCCATGCCATGTGCAGTGTGTGCCAGATGGGCTTCATATCCCACATTCACCATGGGGTTGGGGCCAGCATGTGCATCATGTAGCAGTCATCACTGTGGGCCAGGTGCTAGCTCTGACACCCCTGCCTTGTTATAATAGGTAATTTACAATTAAAACATCTAGTAAATTGGTCTTTGAACTAGCAACGTGAAAGCATTGCTAGTATTCGTAAAATATGAGACATACACGGAGAGACAGTTTCTCATCTTCTTTAGACTGCCATCTTGAAGTAGACACTTTCACAAGCTAGAATATATTGGATCATCTTCACAGCACGAATTAGCTTGACAGAGTACACTAGTTGCTTCACTCAGCCACGTCTAGATGAGCTTTAAAGTTGGAATGACTGCACTGAAATAATCCTCCAAGATGCACACAGCTGGGATTACATTAGTGGGTACAG